TTAAAGTTTAAAAAGAAAGAGAAGAGAGGTAAGACACAGTGTCCAAAGTTTTCGCATTTCACGCATTACCAACTTTTTGTATGCTCTTGCAAAGCTAAAGGGCAGAAATATATTTGCGAGTGATTTCCGCCAGAAATAATTTTAAGCGAAACAAGCTCAAAAAAACAAATGGGATAGAAAATGAATTGATAAGGGATGAGATTTGGTTCGATTGAGTATTGAGTAAAAGTGCCTTTTACGATGTGTTTTATATTTATAGCTTTTCGGTATTGGAGGGAACCAGTTTTCGATTGATCAGTTCACAATATTTTCTCTTCGTCTTTATCATAATATGAAGAATTATATTTGTAATATCTAATAAACATCTAAGAGAAAATCGAAGTATTCAGATATTTCGTTTTTAAATTATTTATACTTCTAAAAACAATTGCCGAAGAAAAATAATATCCCATGCATTAGAATACGTTAAATGAATTTTGATTTTTAATTTTAAATTTATACGAATAATAGAGTAACGATGAGGAACACTTGAACCCTCGAACAGGTGCTAATTTAACAATTGTGTACAGTAATCTGGGGAACACAATATTTACAAGTCATGTTATATCGCATATATTCATATATCCTTATATGTTGTTTCGTTACATAATGCATATATTATATTAATAGATAACATAAATACGTATGTGTTTTAATTAGATGGTGAATTGACTTCTTCCATTTGTTCGAAACTGAAAGGCTGAAACTTGCAAACTGAATTTAATAATTGTTAATTCAATATTTTTCACGTTAATTTAATACTCTATTTATCTTTTTTAATCGTGAACTTACTCTACACTGTAATGATTGTGTAACTTTCGTATTGCGATGTACTACAATAGAATTTTAATGCATGACAAATCTCTTGTTAATGATACAATACAGTGTGTCTACACCTAAACATAACAAATAATTGTCAGTTCTATTATTGATGGTACGAAAAATATGTTCAACAGAAGTTTTATCTTGTGAGAGGGCACACATTCGGACGGAGGCAAAGTTTCTTTTTAAATTATTAGTTTAAAAGATACTACAGTTCAATTTCACTTTTCAAATAGAATTACACATTTTTTCTTAGTCTGTTTGTTAATGCAATTGAATATAAATTCTGCTACCAATGAAATATAATACATACTTTATTTTGTACCAAAGCGAAATGTCGACAATTCAATGTTCGAATAGCATAATGGTTCCTTACTGGAATAATTTACATAGTATTTGTAATGAGAAAAGAGTTGGCCACAATTTAATATGATATCATTGAAATTCATACTCTGCTGATCTAATGTTGATCCTTTAATGACAATGTTTACACATGGCACTTGGAGACTCATTATCAGGCATACATTTCCTATAATGGAAGTATCATCAATATTTTTCATTCAAACAAGTTTTGTTCCGTATATTTATATAATAAATATTTTGAAAACCGTTAAAAATGAAACGTGTATTTCATATGCTGTTAAATTTGTATTTAACAGCATTGACAAATAAGCTAACAATAAATATATAATCCTGTTTAGAAAGAAAAACCTAGCCGTCGTATCTCTTAAATTAATAATTTTAGAAAAATATATATATATATATATAGTATCTATATATTATATATATTTATTGTACTAAGTATATATTGTAATACATGTATACCTGTATCTTCTCATGAAAAAGAAGTGCGGCTGTTAAAATGAATGGCTTTCATAGCATATTGATTTTCGTATACACAAATATATTATAACATGAATGTAAATTCTTTCTACTTACGATTGGTATATTGAACACATTTGTAAAGTGAGAAAACTTTAAGCTTTAAAAGGAAGTGATAATTTGTTCAAAGGTTTCTTGAAGAAATCACTACCAAATCAGTAAAGTAATACATGTGAAATAATGACAGAAGTGACAGTCACAATCTGTACTTTTTCGGGATGATTCTTATCTTCTTATCCTTTCGAATTTTTCACAGCTGTTAAATAATACATTGCATGATTTCAGAAGTTTCGAAGGGAATATGTTTGGTTCGCCTATATTTTAAGAAAGTTTATCATAAATGAAATACACGAACGAGGAAGCGTAATATTTATGAAACCAAACATAAATTGTTTACAGTTATGAAATGTAGAGTAAATCACAGGAGCATTTGTCCCATCATAATTATTGAATTCACAGAATTATAACTTACAGTTTTAAAAAAATAAACTCGAAGTCCATTGACGATTAGTAACAACCGTTCGTCCAATGCACTTGAATTTTATAGTATACGGACACCAGGAGTGGGGTAAAAATGTGATCCTTGGTATACTTCGAATATTTTCTTTCAAAAAATTGGTTCTCATATTCTTCGAAGATATACATTCTGAAATGTTTATAAATGGGAATAAACACATATTTTTTTCAACGAACAATTCATTGTAATATAAATGAAAATTTAATACATGGCCACACATTCCACATGATAAAGGTATTCTCACAATTTACATACACCTAATAAATGTATTACTGGAATTTGATATTTCCATAGTTGAACTTGATAATACTTTTCGCTTGGCTGGTTATACTTTGAAGTATCATTATTTGTACTATTGCTGTAGTATCCTAAATTTCTTTTACTTTTTCTATTGAATATTCTGTATTTAAAATTTCTGAACCTTTGAATTTTTCTAAAAAAATGTGGCATCGTGAAAAGTTTGTATCGTTTGATAACATGAACTACGTCTTTGGAAACGCTGTCGAATGTAATGAATTTCTAATTAAAGTTTGATAGCATTTAGTGTCGAGTAAATTCTGAATGTATTCAAATACTTCTTAGGAAATATATAAATGAGTGCAGTTACATTCTTACTGAAATATCATTAGCTACATAATAATTCTAAGGCAATGACAGAAGCGGTGGAAAACCGGTTGTGTTGGAAACGTTTCTATCTATAATATTACCAAGTTAACAGATACAAAAAATTAGGCCATATGTTTATCAGTTATGAAAATTAAAATTATTTTATGATTCGTTGATAATACTAGATTGTCGTTTCTTTAACATATATTTACAAACATTTTCACCTCACACAGACACAAATTGTATGAATATGAATATTTTCGTGGATAATATATCTAGCTTATTTATTAAAATTTTCTTTCATTCTTATTAATAAATATTTCAAAATGTACATTAAGTTAATATTTTGAAAAATAGATTTTCGATAAATGTTGTTCAGTATTATTCATGTCGACGACCTGAACAGTTTCTTTTAATATTTTCATGCATAAATCGCATTACACAATTCCACTGATCATATTTCAAGAATTTTTAGATCAGTGTAGAAATTTCTATTTTGAAAACATTTTATTCTATATTTGTTAAAATCTTCGTTCCTTGCTTTTCCCTCTAGTGTCATATTATTTCGTACAACTAATATTTACTAATAAAACTTAAATAATAATTATGACGAACAACGATAATGTTTGTAAAAGTAAAAGTTTACAGACAGTTTTTGATTGTTGCAATTTCCAGTTCTTACAATTTATATCTATTACGTAATTTTTCGAAATTTTAAGTAAAATTCCTATTATTTAACATAGTTTATATGATTTGAAAACATAATCATTTACTTTGTGAAAAATAAACGGAGATACACAAACTGTTAGAGATTACGTATTTCATATCACAATCTTCAAGCACCTACTTATATGAGGTCACAAAAATATTCGAATGCTCTCAAATGAAATGTTAAAATATAATATTGAAAGAATGTAATAAAAATTATGAATTTGAAAATGCTTTTATATTACAAGTGATATGTAAGTGTTGCATTTAAATATTCAAAATAACAAGATTTTCCTTAGTAACACGAACTATACGAACGTGACAAAAGAACAGGCACGACCAAATATTAATCAATTATTTAGCACGTAATATTCTTAATATTTCTTTAACATACTGCGAGTACTTATCAGGCCTTTAAAACTAAATTGGATACTGTCTATTAAACTATCAGTAAGATTTTTCGAAAATATTGATGTTTGATAATTAAAAATTTCTGGATCCCGCTTTTTAATGCGTCAAGCGCGTAGCATCTTTTAATTTTTATGTTTATATCACTTGATGTCGTTAACTGTTGATCGTCAATCACTCGTGAACGGCACGGCGCGTAATGCATCAAACGCATAGATAGAATTGAGACTAACTTGATGTCTGGGTCTTCTGAAGGTACTCTCCATGTGTGTGGTATGTTATATACAAGAAAAGTAAAGAAAGGTATTAAATTCAAACAAAAAAGTAAGTCGAACAGACAAAGTTGTATTCTTCTGTACAAAGAATTATCATGTATATATGTATACCATTCAAACTAGAAACATTGAGCATTTTATTTGAAAATATTTGATTATTTTTGCGGTTTACTGTACCTACACTTTTCTGAAAGTTGGTCAAAAGTATAATTAAAATGTTAAATACGTAGATATTAATTTATTTACATTTTTTATGAATTTCTCTGTACTATCTGTTGAAAAATTGAATATTTCTTATTGTACTTTTTTAAAAGGCAGAATAAAAGCCACTGATGCAATGATGTTCTTCTAAGAAAAATTACAAATACTAATCGTGCTTTTAAAGAATTACGTATAAACTTTTCGAGAACTCTGTACAAAGAGTTCATACATGAGTTCAAATTTATCTATACGTGAATGCCGCTGAACATGATAACTATACACGCTATTATTGCCATTCAAATACTTCTACAAAAAACAACATTCTTATCTACATTTATAAAATCATTTTATTGTCGTTTTAAAACAAAAATTTACAAAATCCTGCTTATACAAAATTTATAAAAATAATATATCTCTTTCCACTGATTACTTCAAGCTTTTCGTGGCATACCACAATGACATACGGTAT